TATCACAAGAACGCGCAACGGTTCTTGTTCTTTCTCTTTTTCTTCTGCTTTGGTGGTTGAAGCACCACTTTTATGGCTGCATCAAATACTGCCTTCACATTCTGCACAAGCCCCAAAAGAAGGGGGAAAAAACTTCAGCCTCTTGACAAGAAACTATGCAAACAGTAAGAACCAGGAGAAGTAATTTTATGTCTACCTGCTGTGTCTTTGAACTACATTCAATGTAGACCGCGGATCCAATCAGTTTCTTCAGGTCCTCCCCCTGCATTATTCACACAACATCAGACCATATTTCATCAAGAATTGGTAATCATGGAAGGTTGTAACCATTTACCGACTTTAGTACCTGGTTCGTAGTAATTGGCACTGCACCTGGATGATCTATGAAGAATTGCTTGTCATCTCGAAGGTCTGCAAATACCAAAGAGGTAACAATCTCCCAATGACATACAAGTTTTGAAAGAAGAGTGAAACAAACATTGTTGAGTCACAGACATAGCCAAAGATCATTCGGTCAAAAGAATAGCATGATCAGTTCAATCAGGAAAGAGTTTGATTACCGAGTTTTGTTCCAACTAGGATAATGGGAACGCCGGGAGCATAATGCCTGAGCTCAGGAATCCACTGAGACAGTAGCATAAAAGGAACAAAATCAGATTGGACTTATGTTTTCACTCAGTACAAGTAATCAGAATGAAATTATTAACAAACAAGACAAACCTTCTTGGCAATATTCTCGTAACTAGCCTTGCTGATCAGAGAGAAAGCAAGAATGAAAACATCGGCGCCACGGTAACTCAGAGGCCGTAACCTGTTGTAGTCTTCTTGACCTGTTTCAAAACCAAACCAAGTCAAACCCAATTCCGAAACAAAAATATTATTCCAACACCGGTTTTCGAAAGATTTACCGGCTGTATCCCACAATCCAAGATTGACTGTGTTCCCATCTACAACCACATTAGCACTGAAATTGTCGAAAACAGTTGGAACATAGTCCTGAAAAATGAATCACGGTTCACAGATTTACGTTAAAACCATCTTGTATAAAACATCATAGTAGCTTCATGATCAATGCTAAATCGCAGATATCAGAAAATTCTAACGAGATTGATCAATTCATATGAGATTTAGCTAAATCGCAGTATACAACAAATTTGAAATTGTTTATGATATTGGAAACAAAACATCTTCAATTCCAGAAATGAAAAAAAACTTCATCAACAATAAACTTAGTGAACCTAAGATTATCTCTCCAATCTGTTCTTGAGAGGAGCAC